AGCTTTAAGGTCCTTTCCAACCCAGACCATTCTGAAATTCATTCTGTGGTTCTCTGACTCCCTCTCCTGCCAGGGTCAGCAGCCTGGGCTGTCCTGGCATGCTCAGCACCCCAAAACCTGGCTCTGACACCTCTGGGATGCTTTGATGGGTGGTCTCATGCTTCAGGGCTAAAGTTGGAATTCCTGCAGGGGTTTTGTGTCAGCGAGGACTGAGGGATGTTCAGGAGGGGGGACCAGTAGCTGGCTGGGATGGGGGAGCAGTGGTCAGGGATGTTCAACCCCAAGCCTTGCCCCTGGCCTTGCACCCTGAATTCCTCTACACACACAGGCTGGGTGAAGGGAAGAACTGGAGACACCTTGTTTTGCCTGGAAAAATGACATTTTGACACCAGGAGCAGGCAGAGATCAGCCAGAGCCTGAGGCTCCTTCCTCCACTGTGCTGAATGCAGAATGAGCCTGGCATGGGGGGGCAGCTGCTTTGCATCCCCTGCTTGCCCTGGGGCACCCCCATATCTTGTTGGGGGGTGCTCCCACAGAGACTCACTGTAGGCACAGAAAAAAGAAACACAGTCAGGAGCCAGCACTTTCCTGAGGGAAAATCATAGCAAAGAGAAGGCCAAGCAATGCACATTTTAAAGGGAGATGCTCAGAAAAATCTCAATGCAAATAATCAAAATATAAAATAAAATCACATAAAATATGAATATATACAATATTAATGAAAATTTATAGATATATAAAATACACAAATAATAAAATATTAATGTAGCAGAATATTAATATATTAAAATATTAGAGTATCAAAATATTGAAACGCTGCGTGTTACAGCAATTATTTTGCATGCCAACATACAATTAAAAGCCAAAATTGCCATCTCCCAGCCAGGACTCAGGGTGTGAAGTGCTGTTCCCGTGGATGGGAAGGGGACATCCCTCGTCCTTGACACAGCCCTGAACCAGCAGCCACACGTTGCACAAGCCTGGGCTCTCCCTGGCAGCCTTTATCTCCTCCAAGGGCTCAGCTTTTCAGGGCGTTGTCACCGGGGGTGAGGAAGGAGATGGGAAAGGGAAGTGCTGGTGAGGAACCCTCGCAGGTCACAGGTCTCTTGCTCCTGCCATTGAGCAATGCTGAGAGCCAGGAGCAGGATCCTGTCCCTGCCCGGGGCTGGCACATCTTTCCAGGGCTACTCCGAGCTGTGCCAGTGCTCCATGTCTACCCCTACAAACAAGTAGAGGCAATACGAGTTTTCTTTATCTATTTTCTGTGCATATGTCTTTGTAATCTATTGAGTGTAATTCTGGTTTTTTACTTACCGCGGTGCTAATATCAGCGTTTCGCCTCTCTCCGATATTTCAGTTTTACATTGCTGGTTTGGAGATGCTGAGATCCTTCAGTATTATAGTGAAGGAGATTGGAGAAAACAAAGATTATTAAAAAATAAATAAATAAAAGGAGGACTTGAGCAACAGAGTGCTTGGATGAGCTTTGGGTCACCCAGGAGTGCACACTGAGGGTGGTTTATGACATTGCTATAGTCCCTGGCTTGTATCTGGTATTTTTCACCCAAAAAGGGGACAAAGCTTAGCTCTCCCAATCCCTCTTTTTCTCCTGTTGCACCTTCAGGTGTCTAAATCTGTTGGCAGAACGTGGGGGAAGCAGTCTAGTATCCCACCATCATTTTTTTTTATAAGTGGAGCTTTTCCTGGCAAGAAAGTAATGAATGAGTTTTAAGTATGACCATAAATGCAATGTTTCGCAACGTCATCTGCAGAATACGTTTATTTTTGGTGCCCTCCACCCTTCCCACCATCTCCCTCCAGTTTATTTTAACAATGCTGTAATTTTCTGTTATAAAATGGGATTTTGCTGTTTAACTCCGTGTCGTCTGCTCAGCATTTGCGTGTGCGTGTGCGTGTGCGTGTGCGTGTGCGTGTGTGAGCGTGCGTGCGTGTGTGTGTGTGTGTGTGTGTGTGTGTGTGTGCACTGGTGACATTTGTCACCATCAGATGCTATTTTTAAGCCTATTTTAAGTTATTATTGAGGACCCCACCCTTGGCTTGGGGATGGGAAGGGGGGAGTGCAGGAGGAGGGAGAGGAGGGAGGGGAAGGAAGGAAAACGTCAGCCTCAGCACACTTCCAGCCTCTGGCCATCAACCTCCCCGGGGGCATGGGAACCATAAGGTCATTTCTCAAGCTTGCTGAGCTCCAGAGCTGTCAAACCACCCTGAGAGTTTAAAAAATGCAAATGTATGCAAATGAATGGGCTGTTTCTCTCCCTCTCCCCCCTCACCCCCGGTTTAAATGACATGAATCACCTTCAATTTTGCCAGCATCCTGTAAAGTTATCGGCTTGCCTAAATGCTGCAGTTAACAGAACCACATCTCAGGAGGACCAGGGAGGGAAAAGAAAGGAAAAGCATCTAATTTCCACCAAAACCCCATAATTTTTAACATATATTTTATACATATAAATTATATGCAACTATGTATATAATCACACCCCAATCTCCCAATTCTAATTTTTCTTGTTGTCGAGCAAATAATCCACTAATTAGGGAGAATGAAGCTTAGTGTCCAGAAAAAAACCCTCTATAAAAACATTTGTCAGGGTAGTCTAATATTCTGCTGTTCTGATTTTTGGCACTTAGGGTGATCTGGCAGTGAAAGATGAAAATAGGAAGACACGTTCCTTCATGCAAGAAGCTCCTTTAACACTCAGGCTCCTTCCAAACAAAAATAAACGAGTAGATGATAAAAACAGCAATAGAAATTTAATTGCTCACGCTTATTATTCGAGATACAAAGCCCTAGAAAGGAAGCTGTCTTTTCCTCCCTGGCTCAGGGGTTATTTATTATCTTACACTCCACTTGGAGAAGGTATTAGATTTACTGTCATTTATCGGTGATTTTCAAGGAGGATTTGATACAGAGCTGGTCAGGACCGCAGAGGAGCGTTGCTGGTTAACATGGTTAAGCACAGCACACTGTAATGAATCAATTTGTTTCAGACAACAGACGTAATTAGCGTGGAGGTAATGGGCACACCATGGGATGCAGGGCTGGAGCGTCCTCCCTCCACTGAAGATGTCGGTGGCTGGAGCTGGGTGTAATTCCTGGTTCCTCTGCCCAGCTCTGGGCTAGGGGAGCTGGCTGGAGAAGGCTTCCCATGGCTGGGGCTGCCCTCCAGCCCCTGTGAGGCTTCACTGAGCATGGACAGCTGTCCCCCATCCCTGTGCTCGCCACAGGCCTGTGGCGCATCACCTCCCTCTAGGCTGCACCATCCCCTGAGACCTTCACTCTCTGGCTCCCACACGCCTGTTTTTGGCAGTGCTGGCTAGGCGTGGGGGAGATACCTGCAAGGTCTCCCTGGGGAGGGAGGAAAAGGGAGACAGTGTTCCTTTTCCCACGGGAACATTTCCTGCAGAGTCAGATCCCCTCTACAGCCCCTCCCAGGCTTCTCCGAAGGTTGCCGGCCAAGCTGAAGCACAGGTTTTCATGGACAGACTCCATTAGACCAGGCTTTTTCCATCCCTGAGGCAGCTGGGAGCCAGCTGAAGTAACCCAGGTCCCCACCGGTGGTTTTGAAGGAGGTTTGGAATCAGCAGAGCCAGAAGCTCAGCAGGGAAGGATAGCCAGGACATGGCAGTGGATCCCAGGAGAGCAGCAGAGGTGGCATGGTATGGAGCTGGGGAATCTGCTTGCTGGTATCAGCCTTGCAGAAGGGATGGAGGGGGGCTGCAGTTTTGCTTTCACATGCCCTGGGTTCTCCTGGAGATTAACTGCTCTGTCCCTTGGCTGTGAACCAAGTGTCTACCTGCAGCAGGGCCAGGGCTGGTAGAGGTGACACTGCATGAACACATGCTCTGTGTCCTGGGGGTTTCCAAGGGTTAGTGTATTCAAAGTTATTCTGTCTGTTTGATGTATTCTGTCTGTGAGGGGATTAATGTATTCGTCACCTACTGGAGGAAATCACTTTCCTTTCCTGGGATTTCTCATGTGGAAGGGCTGCTGGAGCCATGTGAAAGAGGAAACATTTTACAGATTAAAAAGTGGCCAAAAAAAAAAAAATCAGGTTTTCCTCTTGGGTGTGGGCTTTTTGCTTCCGAGTTTTTCTTTGAAGCTAAAGCTGCTCTAGCAGGGTAAGATGTCTGCCAGATGCATAGGACATTTTTGACAAGTCCAAGCGGAATTGGGAATGGGGAGAGCTCAGCTCATGGGAAGAGATAGCAGACAACAATCTGTGTCTGGCTAGGTCCTTGCTACCTGATTGTCTTCCTCTGAGTGTTTAGGTATACCCTGTGACACAAATCCTTGCTTTCCTCCCCATTCTCAGATCCCTCAGGAAGACATTCCTACATGGCTTCTCCCTGATAGGGGATATGTCATATCTTCCAGGCGTGAAGTAGACCTGAAGATCCATAAAGATCTCTCTCCCTGCTGAAGCAGGAAGCTGTGACCCTCCTATCTGTGATGTCCAGGTGTACCAGCTCCAAAAACAATCTTGTAGATGAGAAGGACACTCCCTGGCTTGTCTCGTTCAAGCAGTGTAGGTGTTGGCTCTTGGCAGTATGAAGCAATACAGCATCATACCTTCCCCACATAGCTCCTGGCAGGGCAAATCCAACGTGTGTTTGGAGCAATGCTGGCTCCAGGAGGATGTAGAAGAAATGTGGTGGGGAGGGAGTCATTGCACAAGGTTCCTGGGGGAGGGGTGTGAAAGAGAAGAGGAAGCTTGTAGTGATTGTGAAAAGGTGAACAGGGTGGGAATTGAGAAGGATGAGGACAAAGGAGATGAAGACATGGGGAGAGAAGCAGAGGTTTAATCACAGAGGATCTGGAAGGAGCTGAAGGTGGCCTAGAGACACGCTGAGACAGTGCAGGCAGGTGGTGACGGCAGGTGAGGTAGAGGAGGCAAGGACTCTGGGAGAAGGCAGCATCATTTTGGCTTTATCAGTTGGGAATCCCCTGCTAACGCTCTGCTGTTGGTGCTTTGTCCTAGGGCACTAAATGAGAATATGGCCAATGGCATTGAAGATCTTATCGGGATCCCATTCCCGAACCACAGCAGCGAGGTCCTGTGTGGCTTAAACGAGCAGCGGCACGACGGGCTCCTCTGCGATGTCATCCTCATCGTCCAGGACCAGGAGTACCGCACCCACCGCTCCGTCCTGGCTGCCTGCAGCAAGTACTTCAAAAAACTCTTCACTACCGGCACTTTAACAGACCAGCCCTATGTTTACGAGATTGACTTTGTCAAGCCTGAAGCACTTTCTGCCATCCTCGAGTTTGCCTACACCTCAACCCTCACCATCACCACCTCAAACGTCAAGCACATCCTCAGCGCCGCCAAGATGCTGGAGATCCAGAGCATCATCAACGTATGCCTTGAAATTATGGAGCCCGACAGAGAGGCCGAGGAGGAAGATGACAAAGAGGACGACGATGATGATGAAGACGAAGATGAAGATGAGGAGGAAGAGGAGGAGGAGGAAGATGACAAAGAGGACGACGATGATGATGAAGACGAAGATGAAGATGAGGAGGAAGAGGAGGAGGAGGAAGTGGAAGATTTTGTCAATCAGGAGAACCTAGCTGATGTACAAGAAGTAAGCTGCCACCAAAGCCCTTCTGAGTCCGATCTTACCGAAGAAGCTTATACAGAAGCACCTAAAGATTTTCCAAATCACTTCCCAGCCAGTAACTCCTCTGGACACTTGGGCATGATACGAGACTTCTCCATAGAGTCCTTGCTGAGTGAAAACTTGTACCCTAAGGCAAACATCCCAGAACGGAGGCCAGCTCTGTCTCCTTTCACCCCCAGCTTCTTCCCCCACCTGTGGAACGGCGACTTTAACTCCTTCTCCCAGCTCGAGGAGCCACAAGTAGACAACGGCCCCTTGGATCTGGTGATCAAAAAGAGGAAGATCAAAGAAGAGGAGGAGAAGGAAGACCTGCCTCCGCCTCCTTTCCCTAATGACTTCTTCAAGGACATGTTTGCCAACACCCCAGCAGCTCCCTTAGGGCATATTAAGGCAGAGGCTGACTACAGCGCTTATCTCAATTTCTTAAGTGCTACCCAGTTTGGAGGAGTTTTTCCCCCATGGCCCCTGGAGGAAGAGAGGAAAATAAAGCCCAAGGCATCCCAGCAGTGTCCCATCTGTAACAAAGTCATCATGGGAGCTGGCAAGCTGCCCAGGCACATGAGGACCCACACGGGGGAGAAGCCCTATATGTGCAATATCTGTGAAGTTCGCTTTACCAGGTGTGTGCTGGTCACCTCTGCCGTGTGTGTGGGGAGTGGGGTGGTGGCTGGAGGGGCCACATCATAACCCATGACTGATTTCTCAGCTGCTCATCAGAGAAAACAGAGTTTTTGTCCCAAAATAAAAGTAGGGAAGAAAGCAGGGCATGATCTGTCCCTTCGGAAAAAAAAAAAATTAAAAGGGAGGAAGGGAGGGTGGAGGAAGCAAAAGAAACTACTGATTTTTGTGGGTTGTGGATGACATCCACAGCTCACTGGATCCATCCCCTCACTGGACAAAATCTTAAATAAGTAACAGGATATTTTCAACCCCACCATAGTTTACCACAGTGGGACCAGAGTGAGCTGGAAAACAGATGGTCAAACAGCCAAGGACACCTCATCTCTAATGTGCTGAGAGATGCATTGAGCTGGGAGGGCCATTTAGCCACAGGATGTAATTAGTTTGGGTTTGCACATTTTGGCATCAGGGTAGACCACAACCAAGTTGCACACGTTTGGACATGACAGTATCTGGGCTTTCTGGGGCTGGACTGGCGCTAATTATTATGTCTTAGTAGTGCAGTTGGGGGTCTTAGTCTCTTCCCCAAAGTAACAAATGACAGGATAAGGGGAAACATCCTCAAGCATCACCAGAGGAGGTTTATATTGAATATTAGGAACAATTTCTTCATGCAAAGTACTGCAGCAGTCTGTCTAGGGCAGTGGAGCAGTCCCCATCCTTAAAGAGATTTAAAAGACGTGTAGCTGTGACACCCGGGACGTGATTTGGTGGACTGAGGGAACAGTTGGACTCAAGAGAATCATGGAGTGGTTTTGGTTAGAAATGACTTTAGAGTTCATCCAGTTCCACCCCCTGCCGTGAGCAGGGACACCATCCCCTATCCCAGGTTACTCCCATCACTATCCAGCCTAGCCTGGGACACTTCCAGAGATGGGGCAGCTGTAACTTTTCTTGCCAAGTTGTATTTAGCTGTGCAAATCTAATGTTCCAGCCTGAAACCGTGCTCTGCAAAGCTGGGCAAATTTAATCAGTGAGTGGAGACAAATAGATTCCTGGGCTTGCTCTTGCTGAGTATAATTAATATCTAATGAGAACAATCTTTACCATAATAATAAAGCTTTCTGACAAGAGCATGGTATTTCAGCTCCTGGCTGCATGTGAGAGAGAGAGAGCCCTATTAAGCTGGGGTGAGAAAACCAGAGGAAAATAATCTGCACAGTAGGCAGAGGCGAGCTCCTGACAATGGCCAGACACCTGGGGTGCTCCTGCATCAGCCTGTCTTTTCTTCTCCTGTCCCTATGATAATATTCGAATGGAAGATATGCAGATGATGAGAATTTGACCTGAAAATAAATTTCCATGCTCCCCTCCATTAACACAGCAGACACCGTATTATAATGCGGGGAGCATCGTGCCTCGGGCGGGCATGTGCAGCGTGAGCCAGCTTACCCTGGTATTTGCAGGGGAAAGGCCACTGCATGGTGATAATTCCTGCCTGCAGGAATTTGGATCTGACTCCTGCTGGTGCTGCATCCCCAGGTTAGCACTGGGCTGTTGTGGGTTCAGCCTGTGGGTGTAGTGGCCTCTGGGACTGGAGGGACAGCCTGGCCAGCCCCATCCCTGTCACTCTCTTGTGCGTGCTGCTGCAGGTGCTGATTTCTGATGAGGAAATAGCCTGGCTAGATCCATCACTGACATCTTCCCTGGAGCAGGAATAACAGAGCTGAGCCCTCCCAGAGGGCTCCCAAAGTCCTTCACAGGCAAGGGCAGCATTGTTCACTTAGTTCAGGGAAACTGAGGCAGGATGCCTAATCCAGACAAGTTATATCAGCGTGGTAGAGGTTAAAAACTCCACAACAGAACTGTCTAGCATGACCCATCACTAATACAGGGACTAAACCTGGTAGTTTTGACACCCCCCCTGTGTGCTCAGCAGCTCCTAAGTACAGGGCACAGGGGTAGGGGAACTTCATCCAAGGGGAAAATAAAAATCAAAAAACTGGGACTCACCCAACAGTGCAATCCCCCAACACCACTGATGAAAACTGTTCTTGTGGGTCACCCCTTCAGGGCTGGGTGCTGGAGGGTTTTTCCTTCTTGAACACCCTGAGCAAAGCAGATATCTTAAAATATTGATTTGTTTTTAAATGTGTTTGGAAGCATTTTGAATAGCATGCAGCTAATGGTTTTGTTTGGGGTGGGGTTTTCTTAGCTGTTTCCATCATTACTTTGGTGTGAGAGGTCTCTTTTAGGAAAAAGTGTAGTTTTAAGCAAAAAAAGTTGGAGCTTTTTTTTGCATAAAATGTGGAGTGATTGAGATGTAGAAGGAGATTTCTACTGGGATTTCCTGAGTGCTGCCACTTACTTGCATTATGTGTTTTGGCCCCTGGTGGGGAGGAATCCCATAATTTCTGAAAGCATTGGCCTTCCACCCATGGTGCCTTCACTGGGGAGATGCAGGCTCAGATGGATCCTTTTGGGGTCCCCTGGCAGTCAGGGTGCAGGGAAGCAGAGATTCCCAAGTGGAATTTCAGTATGAATCAGTCCTTTGAGTTATTTCTGGATTTAAGGCACTGTGGAGGTGAAATACTACTGGGAAAATGGAAAAGATATATTTTCCTGGGTGAGGAGTGCCCCAACCTCCCCAGCAGATCCCTTCCCCACATCAGTGGGATCTCACATCCCCCTGGCAAGGACCCTACACTCACCTGGACCTGCCACTCCTGCTGCCCACGGACATCTGATGGCAGGAAGCAGGACTTCATTTAATGGCTCATTAATTATTTTTTCCTTAAACAAAGGCCTCTCAGCTTCTAGTCTGCTGTTCCACCCTGCTAGAACGCCGGAGAAAGCTGCAAGTATTTCAGCTTTTCTACCAAGACAACCCCAGAGTGCTCAAGGAGATACTGTTCCAGCTGGAAAGGTTAACATTATTTGTTCCTATTATTTGTGTTGTGACAGCTCGCAGAGCCCTAATCGCTCTCCTAATGCAATTGCTTTAAGGTTATTCACACACACACAGTGTGGATCTCCGTCGGAGCAAGCCTCCAGCCCAGCTCCCAGCTCTCAAACCCTATGTTCCCCGTGCCACAGCCCCTCTGGGGTGCTTCACCGCAGAGCACCTCATCCCCCCAGCCTCTGAGCAGCTCCAGGTGGAGCCACAAACCTGCCTTGCATTCCCCGGAGATGCTGCCGGGGCAGGGAGGATTGGGTTTCTCCCGTCTGCTGCCGGAGATGGGTAATAGCCTGAGAAGAGCTTTGCCGGTATTTACATTATACAGTCCCGGCACGCAGCGTGTTTATTAGGAAAAGCGATCCTGCTAGGTTAAACATTACCTACAGAGGTTTAAATTAAATTATAGGTGGGCTCGGCAGCTCTGCTTTTTATTAACGTTTCCCCCCCGCTTTGCAGTACGAGCCCCACACTCATCCGCGCGCGACTTCGCCGTTCGGGGTGAAATTCTCCCTGCTGCTGCTTTGTCTGCTGCTGAGCACTGATTCCAGCCCTTCCAGAGAAAATCCACCCTTGTCAAAACCTTGGGGCAACACCAGCTTTAAAAATGCCACAGTGGGAAGTTGCCCTGAGCTTGGCACAGGGACTGAGAGATGACTTTTTTTTCATGTGTCCCTAAAAAATCTGTAGGTGCAGGACCAGGCTGGGATCAGTCTCCCAAGAGCAATAAAACATCATCTGGTGAAGAAGTCACTCTCCTGCTAGGGATGCTCCTTTGCATCCTTGATCCTGAGGGACTGGTGAGCAGGGATGCCCAGCCCAGAGCTGCATTCCTCGTGGTGTGGCCGACACCTCTGTCCTGCTGGGCATGTCACCAAAAACTGCTTAACTATGCACACATGGGCTGGGTGGCAAAAACTAGTTCAGAGGCAGCACCTTGTAAGTTTTGAGGGCTTGACCTGCCAGAAGAAACAGATTTTAGTGTGGTTTTTATATTATATAAATTAAATCATCATCATATATACTTTCATTATGTAATTTATAATATAATTACATTTTAAAACAACAATAAATTGTATTTTATTTACTGTTTATATTAAAATATACCATATAGTTTTATATGGCATATCTGTAACATATAATATTTATTTTATACCTAATAGTGACATGACTTCACATATTCTACATATTTTAGCTTCAATGCTAGCCTGGTGGAGGGCTCATACTGAAATAATTTTGGAAAACAATATAAATTTTCCCTCTTTGCTCTTTACTTGAACTCCACTAGTGCAGCCTAGGAAGCAGTGTTCAGCTCAGTTGAGCCATAATCGGCTTCACTTTTTTTTTAGCTGTGATATTGTTTTTATTTTGGTTTTTGGCTGCAGAAGGAAATTTTTTTTTTTTTGGGGAAAAAGTCATGATTGGATTGCCCATATGGGAAGATATTTTTGCTTTTAGATATTCCCCTTAAAAAATACATATATAAATATTTGTAAATAAGTGCCATCGAGATAGATATTACGCTATTCCATGCCTGGACTTAAGAAACTTCTCCAAACCGTGTGGGTTGCTGGATGTGTGCTGGCCTTGGAGACCCTGGCAGAGAAGGACAGAGTGCCTGGGTGCTGCACCTCTGGCAGCTTCACCCTCTGTGATGCTCCTGCTCCAAAAGAAATCTCCTGAGACACCATGTGGTCAGTGCAAGAATAAAAGGAGAGGAAAATCGGCTCCAGGAGGGATTGAATTTAAGCAGTATTTTCCTGCATTGCCAGGCTCTCAAATCCCAACTGACTTCCTTATTTGCAGGCCGCAATAGGGCTGTATTTATTTAATAATCTCAGATTTAGTTATATATAGATATATTCCCATCTTTAGAATCTTGCCCTTTACAAGTATGTGGAAGGAGGATGTAGCCTGGTGGGGGTCGGGCTCTTCTCCCAGGGAACAAGGGACAGAACAAGACGGAACAGCCTCAAGTTGTGCCAAAGAAAGTTCAACTTGGAAAATCAGGAAAAATGTCTGCCCTGAAAGGGCTTTCCAGCCTTGGCACAGCTGCCCAAGGCAATAGCGAAATCTGCATGCCTGGAGAGATTTAAAAGGCAGCTGGATGTGGCACTTGGGGACAAGGGTTAGTGGTGGCCTTGACTGGCAGTTTGGTTGGACTTGATGATCTTAGGTCTTCTCCAGCGTTAATGATTCTGTGTTTTTTTGGGTTTATTACAGGGATTTTTTTCTTCCTCAAGTTTAAGTTTTGAACTCTCTAGGATGGGCTGCAAACTCCTGACATGGAGAGCTCTTCTGTGTATGATGTTTCCATGCCCAGGAAGGAGGAGGCAAATGCAAACATCAGCCTGCAAGACCATCCATACACAGGGAGAGGCCCCATGATGAGCTCCCCACCTTCCCATCACCTCCTCCCCTGACCCCACCCAGGAAGCCAATCCCAAAAAGAGCAATCCCAACCACACCCCCTCCGTCCCACACCGTCTGACCAAGCGCCTTTTCTTTTGCAGGCAGGACAAGCTCAAAATCCACATGCGGAAGCACACGGGGGAGCGGCCGTACCTGTGCATCCACTGCAACGCCAAGTTCGTGCACAACTACGACCTGAAGAACCACATGCGCATCCACACGGGCATCCGGCCCTACCAGTGCGAGTTCTGCTACAAGAGCTTCACCCGCTCCGACCACCTGCACCGCCACATCAAGCGCCAGAGCTGCCGCATCGCGCGGCCCCGGCGCGGCCGCAAGCCGGCGGCGTGGCGGGCGGCCGGCCTGCTCTTCGCGCCCGGCGGCCCGCCCGTGGAGAGCAGCTTCGTGATGCCACCCACGCTGGAGGAGATGAGCAGCCACCTCAGCAGCACGGCCATGTGCCTTCCCGGCCCCAGCCCCAAACACTTCCTGAGCGGGGCCAAGACGCCCTTCAGCCTGCAGGAGCTGGAGAGCCAAATTGAAGAAACCCAGATGAAGCTCTTCAGGCGCGCACAGATGGACATGGAGAGGAACGCGGGCATCTTCGCCTTTGCCCTGGGCCACAATGAAAACCTCGCTGCCCAGCCCTTCTTCCCTCTCCCTGACCCTTGGAGCACAGGCTTCAGTGGCTTGGCAGGGCTTGGCCACGTGGCTCCCATCTCAGAGTCCAGCAACTAAACCCACGCCCGGTCCCACCATGCGTCCGCTCCCATCCCAACAGGGCAGCCCGCTCCCCTGGGCTCCCACCTGCCCTCCTGCATCATCAGGTTGCCGACAAGCTCCTTGTCCTCTCACTGCCGTGGCCTGCCATGGGGCTTGTGGCACGGGGCCATCCCTGGGGCGAGCAGGGCATGGGCAGGCTCTGTGCCCCGTGGCCACCGGCACTTTAGACTCTGCACTTGGCTTTGGGGCCATCAGGCACTCACTGTCCCATCCCTCCACTCATGGCTCCATCTGGGAAGGCCAGGCCAGGACTGCTGCTCTTTTCAACACCCCCAAAAATGTCACTTGCCTTAGTCCAGGGCTCGGCCATCACCATGAGATGGTTTTTCTGTGGGAAATGTTCCCCATTCTCTCACACATGGAGCTCACTGGACACTGACAAGCCGTCCAGACTTGGGTTTGTTAAGTTGCATTCCTTGGCCTTTTTGGTCAAAAGGACTTTTCTGTTCTCTTTCTGTTCTTGTTTTCTTTTCTTCTTAATTAATTCCCATGTCTGGCAACAATATTTATTCTACAAGGGATAAAGAGGAGGTCTAGCAGCCTTACTGGGAGAGGGAGAGAGGGAGGATACTTGCCACTGTCTTTCTCAGCAGTATATCAGATTATCAGGGCTGGTGAAAGCCCTGATCTGCAGCATGAGTTGGGACTTTAAAAACATTAAAAAAAAAAAAATAAAAAAAAAAAAAAAAAAAAAAAAAAGGAGATCGAACACCTAGCACAAAGCTGGGTGGAAAAGGGGGATTTTGCTTATTTTGGTTCTTTAGCTATTTCAAAGTTTCAAAAGGAGAACCAAAGCCTATTTTGAGTATTTTAACTTCATTTGCTTGAAAAGGTGAAGGAAAAGTTTTGGAAGAATCAGTAATGTTTCGATACTGAGCTTTTACTAAACCCTTGCTTTAAAAAAATGAACCAGTGGGAATATTGAAATGAAAAAGTCGTTTCAAACCAAAGAGTCAGAATTCGCTGCCGCTGACCATTCTGAAATGTCTGGGGTTCTGTCCTCAATTCCCTCAAATTCTTATGTGATAGTGATGAGAAAAATTTACAAAACACTTGTGTGTCCCCAAATCTGCAGTGTTGGTGGGAAAAAACTGGGTGTGAAAATATCCCTGCTGCTTGTCTCAAGGGATTTTTGTCGAAAAGAAGTTCACTACCGGTGTCTTGATGGCGACATAGTCTACTTGCCAACAAATAGAAATTCTGGTTTTTTCACTGTAGCTGGTTCAAAAGAGAAGGTGGTGACATTTGACAGGGTACTCCTAGCTGAAGGTCACCCATGGTGGCCAGCAGGTTTGGGGTGACTCCCCAGCATCCCATCTTGGCCACCCCATCTGTTAATTCTTTCGGGGCACAAGAAGTGGCCAATTGGCTGGAATCACCCTGTCCACCTCCTTCCGCCCCAAATCCATGAGCTGCTCTGAAGGACAGAGGCTTTTGGTGGCCCTCTGCCTCTGATGGCTCCTCCAGGATGAGCCCTGGGAGGCAGACTGCTGGGATCCCAGTTCCACCACTGGCTGAGGTGTGTTGCAGTGGTGGTTTTACATGAAACCAACACTTGGAAATGTAAATGTTACAAATTGGGGCTTCTTATTTCTCTTTTTACTATGACCTTTCAACGTCAGCGAAATCGGAGGGAATGCGAGGACCGCGGGTTCATGAGTTTTTTGGTTTTTCCATCAGTGACGTGGTGGTTGGATGAGAATCTGCCCACCAGAGGCAAGGAAGGGGACACAGGGAGGTCAAGGGTTCCACAGCCCTCAGGAGGGTTGAGGGGCTTCTGCTCTGAGACCACCCTTAGCAGAATGCTCCCAAGGAACTGCCCAAACTTGGCTTCCTCCTCCCAAAAGAAATCCATAAAGACTCCACGTGCAACAAAAGTCAATGGAGAGAAAAAAAAGAAAGTAAGAAGAAAAAGAAATCTTCTTAAAAAACTGCATCAAACGTTTTCTTTTTAATCCTCATCAACTTCTTAAACAAGCGACGTTTTGCAGATGATTGGTTCCTTCAGGTGTTTTTTTGTCTACGATTTGGAGTCGTTGTAAAATATCCAAAGATGCTGAGTACTGTATGATCTGCAAGGACTTGAAGCAAGGTGTTATTTCTGTCTCAGTTTGTTTGTTAGGTTGGTTGGGTTCTATTTTTTTTTTTCCTATATGTCTAAGTGGGGATAAACCTTTGCAATTTTTCTATTTATAACTATTTTTATGTGATTGCTTTATGTACAAAACAATGAAAAAAAATCAAAACAAAAAACTAGAGAGGAACACACATGTACACAAACAAATTTGCCTTAGTTACTCACGGGACAATCACCCTTAACTTTGATTGATGCTAAAAAGCAGATGGAAAAAAAGAGACTAGATCATTTTATGTATTTATTAAACTGTATTAATTGATGCTTTTAAATTATTAGCAGGACTTGATTCTCTTGCCTGTGGCCATGGTGAGAAGGCAAAGCTGCCGCGGTTGTTGAGCTGCCAGCACAACCATCAGTGTGGCCTCAGCTCTGTGGATGTTTTCCTGACACCTTTTGGAAAGCCAGAATGATCACTTATTAATTAAAGATTGAGCTGGTATGGGCTCCAGCCCGAGGGGCTGTTGGTGTTGCGATGCTGATGACGATTTTGGAGTTAAGGTTGATTTTCCCGCGTTGGCGCTGGGTTGGGCAGGGCTGGAGGGAGCTGAGTGCTGGCAGTGCTCGTCTTTTGGGGTGCAGAGGGATGATTAGAGTAAACCCTGCTTCTTCCCGTTTTGGTGTTGTGTGGTGAGTCCAGGCCACAGGTATCCACATGGGAGCCCAGCTGAGTGTGAAGGTGCCTTCCGGGGGATCTGCTCCCGTTTCCCAACCAGGACGGGTGCAATGACACCAAACCTCAGCCTGGAGGGACACAGCTTCTGTCCCAGCTCACGGTGTGGGGGCTTCTTCTTCATCTCAGCCTGGCTCCTATGGCCTGGTTGCAGCAGGGTAGGGGGTGGTTCTGCCCCTCTGCCCCTGTGCTCTGCTCAGAGCCCACCTGCAGAGCTGCCCCAGCCCTGCTCCAGCAGCACAAGGACGTGGAGCTGCTGGAGCCAGCCCAGAGGAGGCCACGGAGCTGCTGCCAGGCTGGAGCCCCTCTGCTCTGGAGCCAGCCTGGCAGAGCTGGGGCTGTTCCCCTGCACAAGAGAAGCTCCAGGGAGAGCTCAGAGCCCCTGCCAGGGCCTCAAGTCCTTTTAGGAAAAAGATCAGGCAAACATATTAGCAGGGCTTATTGTGCTGAACAAGAAGAGATGTTTTAAACTGAGAGAGAGGAGAGTCAGTCTAGATAGAAGGAAGAAATTTTTTACAATGAGCGTGGCAAAACACTGAAACAAGTTGCCAGAAGAGATGGTGACTACCCCTGGATCCCTGGAAGTGTCCAAGGCCAGGGTGGACAGGGCTTGGAGGAACCTGGGATAGTGGAAGGTGTCCCTGCCCATGGCAGGGGGTGGATCTGGTCGACCTTAAAGGAGCCTTTCAACTCAAATCTTCTGATGATTCTGTTATTATATGAGCACAGATGACACGAACATGAGCCCTGTAATTCATGTGGCTGCTCAGGAACTGCACAATTTCTTTGCTGTTTTTGAATGAGGCGCAAAAGCCTTGAAGATAAGCTCCAGCTAGGAACTGTGGGACTCATTCCACGTTGTTCAGCCATGTGGAGGTGAAGTAAACAGGGACCCTGTGCCTGTTGAGACACCTCCATGTCGTCCTGCAACCTGCAGTGTGATTCCCAGCCTGCCTCTGGAGCCGTCCTGGCTCTGGTGGGAGGCAGGTTCTGATGAGGGTGATTCACCCCACCTACGCTGGACCTCCCAGGGGTGGGATGAATCACCTTGGGCACCTCTCTGCTACCTACCAGCGTGCTGTGCTTTCCCATAGCTCACTGAGATAAGCCTAACCACAGGGAGGGATGTTCCCACCAGCACCGCTCCCTCTTCCCTGCTCAGCTCATGGGACAGTCCCCGGGAAAACCTTTCCCAAGAGGATGAGATGCTGGTACAGCCCAAGGACCCAGGTCATGCAGCTTGATTACTTCCCAGTCTGTTTTATCTGGCAACACTATAGGAAATAGGGGTCCTTGTCAAGCCTCCCAAGCCTGGGGACCAGGGATTCAGGCTCATGGGTCGTACACCCTGCTGCAATCCCAGTAAAACTTCCCAAGTTCTTACAGCCACAATTCATCTTGCTTCCTTTACACTTCAGAGAAGGACTCCACAGCATCAGGTGCTCGGGCAGGGGTCCAGATCTGCAGGCAGAGTCCAGAAATGTGACTTGAAACAAAGAAATACCAGTCCCCTCCCAGGCAGATTTTTGAGCAGCTCCTCTGTGCTTGGAGCTTGCAGGACTGTGGCAGGGTCAGCCGATAAACTGTGTGTTTCTGAGCACAAAAACCCACAGAATTAAAACTGTATGAATTACTTTTTAGCTATTTAAATACACCTATAACTTCTTCTTTTATTTTTTTTTTTTTCCAGCTCCTGTGGCTTTTAACCCCGTTTTATACTCACCTTCTGGTTTGCTTATAATGCCACAACAACAAAAAAGAGATTTGTAAGGGGAGGGTGAATAAAGAAATCTAAAAATCGCTCGGAGGAGCTGTGCATTAATCAGACACATGGGAATCACGGGAAGAAACCAGCTTCAGTAAATGCTTGTTAGCAACAACATATGGCTACATGCTTGCTCCTGAACAGCTGCTGTTCTCTGCTGGAGCATCCAGGCTGCAGAGGGGGAACGGCTCCGGGGGATGCTGCGCACGCAGCGTTCGCTTGGACCAGGTGTTGCTGCCAAAGGAGCACGGGTGGTGGGGAGCTGGATGGGCAATCCCTTCCCCTGGGCTCCAAACCCTTTTGCTGAGCAGTGCAGAAGGAAATTACATCCAGAAAAAAAAATGTTTGTGTTTTAAGAGGGGAAGAAGGAGCCTGCAGTTCGG